CGGATAACCGAAAAATATGAAAAAATACATTATTAGTATAGTATATTAGTATATCCCATGTAATTAGTATATTAGTATATCGCTATTAACCAACTTCGCGTTGAATTTTCATCGATGTTAAGCCTAACAAAATTTTTTTAAAATAATAATCGTTGCTATTGTAGCATTAAAAATTATTTTAAAATTATTTTATTGCTCACAAAACAAACAACCACTCATAATTAGAAAATTAAGCCTCGTTTAAATACTGTACTGGCCTCCCTTTCATGGTCAAGCTAGTGTTGCTAGCTAAAACACGCAAAAATTTAACAAAAATAATATTAAACTAGCCAAATATTGTAGCACCACATCACTAGCAGACATTTGAATTTGCCGACTAGAACGCGATCGGTTAACCGATGTAACAGTTGATAGGGGGTCAGATAATCAATGCTCTACTGTAATCCCATTTAGAATATTCTTAATTTATAAATAAAGTATACATTTACTAAGATAAATAAAATAGCAATTTCAATAACTACTTTGAATGACTTTATTAATATTAATTAATGCACAAAACAAGTTAGTGAATGACTTTCAACACACACAAGCAGGTAACAATATGAAACTGGAAGGAGTATGATGCAGCCAATCAGAAATGGTTTAAGTCATTGCTACACTGTATATATCTAGCCACTGTACTGTGGATAACAAGTTGATATTGAGTAACTAAATAACATTATTTTTAAAAAATCCATCTCTGTTAAATATGAGTATTCAGACTTGGGATATTGTTCTTTGAAAGAACTCAATTATATATATTATTCTATGATAATAACATGGGCTTAAATTAAAGCATTCTTTTAATTAAAAAGTTTTTACATTAATTTATGTTTAGTATTAGATGGTAAATTATACATTAGGCCTATTTAATTATTTGTATAATTTAATTTGAATTTTCCAAACTATGTACTAATAATTATAAAATTATTTGTAAATCGTTGCTTTATTTTATATACTAGTGTGCAATAATTTTAAAGGAATTTTGTGTATTTTTCAGGAAAAATTTTCGATCCTGAAAATATTCTGCATGTCTTAATTTTTATTTTGTGAAATATAGTTTCAAAAAATATTTTTTTATTTATACTTACTTCTTTTAAAGTATCCTGTCTTGATTTCTTCAAATTCTCATATTTATCCCTCAATTGACTCAATTCTGTTTGTAATTTTTCCATAGTTTTCATTAATTTGCTCTTCTCTCTACATATTTATGAAAGAAATAATTTTTCTATTTAATATTCTATAAAAAAATTAAACCAATGCCATTATAAGATAATTTAAAAATATATGCCAAAAAACTATTAATCATTCATAGTCAAATACAAACATATGGAATGCAAGTGGCTTGCTTATTTATCTGTGCATTTTAAAATTAAAAATATTTACTAAAAAAATTTAATGTTTTTAAATAAAGAAATTAAAAAACATTTAAATGAAAATTTATCATAAATATAAATATTGTTATAAAATGTTATTTAATTGTACATAGTATTTAAAAAACACACATTGTTACTTTTATTGCTAAATTTTTTAAATTATTAATCAAATAGCTTTATTTTACTAATCAGAGATTTTAATAAATATATGCTAAAGATATCTGATAGAGAACACAAGAAATAACAGGAAATGATTTCAAAAAATTAGAACAGGAAAACATCAGATTGTTCAACAAATAAATTTCTATTTTTGATATCATAATTACTATCATATGTAAACTGTATCTTGGTTAATACATGCCAGCTGTTGTTGTTATTAAATATAAATAATTTTTGTATTTTTTTTTATTGAATAAAAATTCAGAATGATCAATTTTATGAGAATGTGCTAATAAAAGTTAAAGAATATTTTATATTTAATTATAAACAAAAATGGTTTTACTAATTTTTCTTCTTTTCATATAGACACTAACTTAATTTTTAATATCTGCAATCTAAATTGAGCAAAATACAAAAAAAGTTAAATATTAAAATTGTTGAGACTTAAAAATTTCATATGATGTCAGTGCACAATTACAGGTAAACTAAATTGTATATGTGATCTCATGTGATGTAATGTGATCTCAACCTGCTTCCTGTCAAGAACTGCATTCTGTAGGATTGAAGTTTATGTTGTGTAACATAAATAATGTAATTTACTAGTTTTATCTTTATCTAACTTGTAATAAAGCATATTATGAAAACTAGAGGCCTGAATAAATCATTTAACAAAAATAATAATAAAACAATTGCAAAATTCTAAAATAAATCTACTATTCCTTAAAATTTTTAAATGTTTATGACTACATATTTTTTATATACTAAAGTAAAGAAATTAACATACTGCCTTTCAATTGAAATAGTTTTTGATGCCTCATCCAATCGTAATTGTAACATTGCAATTTTCTGTTCAGTCAATTCTTGTATAGGACTTGTAACTTCATCTATTCCCCTTTGAGATTTGCTCTTTTTATCATTTATGGAAGAAATATTACTACTCGTCACAGAATTAATCTCACTATTGTTTTTCTGTTGCAATAATTTATCTAAAAATTCTAAATCTTCATTTGTATGTTGGCCAACATCTGTTGCATTTTGCCCACTTTTATTAGATAAATTATCTAAATTTGTAGGTCTGATTGATATTGATCCTTCATTATTTATTGATAACTTTTCAGCTGGACTTATATCTCTCTCTGCAGCAACTCTTTCCCCAATTTGTCCCGTTACATAAGGAACATCATTCTTTTTTTCATTCTGACCTAATTTGGCACCTAAAATTTTCATTTCTTTTCGAAGTCGGTCCACTTCTGTTTCCAAATCTTGTTTCTCACGTTTCAGTGTATTGCATTCTTTCATAACTGCTTCTAATTTACCTCTAAGAACTCTAGCCTCTTCTCTAACTTTATTCCTCTCAGTTCTTACTTTGCTCCATTTCTCCCTCCAATTAGCAGTGCAATCTGACCACCATCTCATTGTTTTTTCCATCTGAGCAGCTCTAGCACGTGCTTCTTCTAATTCTCTCAATCTCAGTTCTTCCTTGGCCTCCCATTCAGGATCATAATTATGATGATGATGGGATGATAACGAATGTTGAGAAATATCACTTGGCATCTCAGGTGTTTCTGACCATTGATTAGAAGTTCCACTAATATGACGTTTTACAGAACTAGCTGTAGATCCAGAATGGGACATTCTTTTTATTCCCTAAAAATTACAAATAAATATCTAGTTAATATGACCTTTTTTTCCATTATTATTATTATGAAAATATTAAGTTACTGACCTTAATACTATACCTTAGTTAGTTTAAAATTCATAAATACTAATGACATTTTACATATTTTCAATATTTGAAGTGTGCAATGCCATAATGTTGTAAATGCCATTTTTCTCTAAATATATTTTATTAAAGAATTGAATTCTAAATGCAATGTTTTCTGCTGCAAAAAATATTGTGGCAATAATGGCACTGTAAGTGGCTGTATTTTGAAGTTGAATTTATGTGAAGCCATAACATTTAAAACACCAGAGTGCATACTACATGACTTTTGGTGCTTAAATATTGCAGCTTATATTTACATCATTTTGATATTCCAAAGAATTTGTAACTAGTGAGTTTTTTACAAATTTATTGTAAAATTAAAATAAATTCATTCACTAAAAAGTGTTTTTTTTACCTCTCCTGAAGAGTTTCCGTTTTTGGTATTTACATTAAGCCATTGCACACTTCATTTATGTAGTAAAATCTTGTTTTATAGTGGAGGTTGTATATCAGCAGGTCCTGCATAAAACAGAATTCAATAAATTTATGATACACTACAAGTAGTCCCAGATAATTGCCAAAACACTTATGTTTTTTGTTAATTGTAAGTGGTTACATGTTTAAAATAAATAATCAGGCTAAATTTTGGATCTATAATCATATATCCAAAATTTAGCCCGATCATTTACAGCAGTTGTAGGTGTATTTGCTTAAGATATTGGGTTTCTATTAATGTGTATATTTACATGTTTAAAATGTTTTTATTTTTACTACATATACTGAACTTCATAACAAAAATACGGTGGTACCTCAGGATACAAATGCCCCAGCATACAAAATTTTCAGGATACGACATGAAATTCGAACATATTTTTACTCCACAATATGAACAAAAACTCACCATACGATGTTACATTAGTTTGCAGCACCATTTTTTATTCACTTCTGTTCATTGGTCTGTCTACGTGTTTGCTTTGTCGTGGAAGGATCTCGCTCGATAAAGGAAATCTTAAGGTATTATCAGAAAGTGACTGATTTTATAGAAAAGAAACATCCCAAAAAGGTTCACACTGGTCGTATTGCTGCAGAGTAATGACATTTGCCTAAGTCATTTTAGAAACATTTTAAAACGTAGGCAAAGACTTTGGATAGATATTTTACCAAGCGACCTCTATCCAGTGAAAGTGCTGGTGGAAGTGAAGGAAAGAAAGCAAAAAGCAGTGAATAAAAAATAAAAAAATATAAAAAAATTAAAAAATTAGTGTTAAGTTATTTTTAAGTTATTGTTACATTACATTATGTAAGTTAAGTTTTAGTATTATTTCCCTTCTCCCTCTCTTCCGCCACTAGTTTACACCTCCACCGTCGTTTATCTTCAAAGATAAAGTGCAAATAAAACTATATTTTTTTTATAGATTATTATTCTATTATGGTTATTTATACATTTACAACTACAAAACACATTTTTCAGTGTTTTCCTTACTATAGTTATTTTTTTCTTAATGTACTACTTAGCTTTAATTTGAGTGTGTTTTTCATGTTGGAACGAATTATTTGGTTTTACATGTAATCATATGGGGAAAAATGATTCACCTTATGACATTTTCATAATACGATCTCAGTTTCAGAACAGATTAATTTCATATCCTGAGGTAGCACTGTAGTCAGTTTAAGTATTAATAGTCAGAATTATCCTTTTACATTCAATGGTTAACCTAACCATTTACAAAGACGTGAATCCATAAATATCAATTCTGCATAAAACAAGACTGCTTTATACTAGAAATTTTAGCTGTAAGAAATTTCAGTTATATAAAAAATGCAGGTAAATTATACTTTTATAAAATATAGTAAATTATGTAAAAAATACAACCAAAAATATTTTATAAAACTACCATTCTTTCAAAAACAAAAATATGAAATTATCCAATCCTATATTCAGACAAGTATCTAATAACCAAGCTTATTTGTTTATAGACATTTTCAATGTACTGTAATTACAGTATCTTTAGATGACTAATAACAAAAATATTGTTAAAATAATTCTTCAGAAACAATCAATAAAATAATATTTTATAATATTCGATCAGTGTGAGTTTTTAAAATTATTCATTTTAAAAGTTAATTAAAATTTTCAAAAATTCTCAAGAATATTTTGAGAATTTTTTATATTCTTAAAATTATATTTAAAACTTTAATAATTGTGACTCAATCATTTGAAAAAGTTTTTGTGCAGATTAAGATATATAAAATAGTAAAACAATTTCAGAATTTTGTAATCTAAGAGCTGTTATATTTGGTACTAAGCAGAAAGTTATAAAACTAACATTCCTAGATTCTTATTAACTTATTATTATTAAAGAAAAATAATAAATATGTTGTTTAGATTAATTTTAAAATGTATTAGAACTGTTTAATTTTAAAAAGTAAAGTGATATCTAAATAAAAGTTACATGATAAAACATTGTTTAATTCCATAGTTATATTTACTCAACTATAGAAATATCAAAACTAAAGCAAATTATTTTTATTATAAGAAATGCTTACAGACATAAAAAATTGAAATTTTGAATGTCCTCGAAAACTTCATCAGTAAAACATGATCTAAAAATTATTGTTTTGTTAAAAGTAATTTTTAAAGAATGATTTGATAATTTAAGACAAAATATCATACAAAAGAATTTTAAAATTATTTTCTTTTAAGTTTACACAAAAACAAAAGTATAAAAAAAATCAATTCCACTTTGTATTCTACAGATCATCTGCAAATATTTATCTTGATTCTGATGCAGAAACTTACAATTTACCTATATTCAATAATATACAATATTGTACAATACGTGGTAATGTTACTACAGTAGAACCTCGAAAACTCGGCTCTCAATAACCCGGCACTCCAGATAACTCGGCCACACCCTGGCAGGACAAAAAAATCCTTAGTTAATTAATTTTCATTATAGACAGCTTTATAAAAGTATAAAAGCTCTCATAAAGTATTTTTCTGAGGTCTGTCTTATCAGGTAAATTACTGTACACAGTGTATTCATTAATTTTCATTTTCATGTAGTAAAGGCTCTATGCCTTCATAAAGGACGTACTTTTCCTTTGTTTAAGGGTATTTGGGCAGTTTATTCTCTGTTATATTCTCAAGTAAACAATACATACAAGTACAATACAGTATTTTCTGAGGAAACACTCTTACTTATTTTTTTTAACCCCATTCCCGATAACCCGGCATTTTCACAAACTCGACCACCCTTCGGTCCACATTAGGCCGAGTTTTTGAGGTTCTACTGTATTATATTATTAAATGACGCTTCTAGTCCACAACGTAAATTGAGATTAAATTCATTAACCCAATTAAATATGACTATAATAAATTGGAGGGCTTATCACATCAGGAAATGACTGAAACAAAGTATACTAAATTTTTTACAAAGTAGCCTTTAATTACACACAATCAGTATTCTTTCTTCCAGTCATTCTTCAAATCTTCACACATTAAAAAATTCCAAGCTGGGTGAAAGTCTGAAAGGTGAAAGTCTTCACCACTTTTAAACACAGCATATAGCCCCAATTTAGCACCAAACGACTTCCACCTCTTTCATGAACAGAAAAAGTGGCCAGGAGGGCAGAGGTTCAAAACTAATGACGATCTTCAAAACAATGTTAAGGCCCACCTCAAGTCATTGGCAGTAACATTCTATTAAGAGGGGATGGAAAAGCTTGTTCACAGGTATGACAAATGCCTCAATCTTCACAGTGATTATGTCGAAAAGTAACCAGGTTTGTAGCTAACTTTTGGAAATAAATTCATTTTGTTATTTACATTGTCTTTTTTTTTTATGGACCATCGGAGATTGAAAAAAAAAACAGCTTACGTAAATTACAAATGAGATAATCAAACTACAAACTAAAATTTTACTGAACTATTCAAATCAGATGTTAATTGCTAATTCAGTAAAAATGTATTTTAAAAAATTTATTAAATAAAATAAAAACACTAAATTCAAATTCCTCAGTCAAAAGAAATGTTTATATAAATTTCAAGGGTTCTAACTGTTCAAGTTTGTCCAACTTACACCTTGATCATTCTCAGATTAAAATTTGATGGCATACTAAATTTGGTTCTTCTAAATTCAAAGAAATTCCTATGCATAGTAATTTTACCTATAAAAAAAAATATACAAACATACAAGCATGCACATATAAAAATATATATTTAATATAAAAAATTTTAACAATATTAAAATAAAAATAATTGATTAAAACAATTAAAACACAATTCAGATAGGATTGTTTTTGTGCATATTGAAGTGACTGTAAACACAAAACAAGTGAAAAATTTATTATATACTTTAATTTGTGAATACAATATCAACACTCATTAGGTATTATTATTGCAACCTGTAAAATGTAAATTGATTTTATTGTAAAACTTGTAAATGTTTTTGAATCCATAAATTGCTTCTATTTTAACCTATCAAAAAATTTTAATTTTTGTAAAATTAAATGCTTATTGTAAGAACATATTAAATACATTAAGAACACACTTAAAATACACAAAATACTCTTAAAAAACACATTGAACATAGATTTAATTTGGGAAAAAAATGCAAGATTTGTCTGGCAGGTCCTGTGCAGAGTCTCCTCTGCAGATGCTTTGCACAGGACCTGCCAGATACTTATTTGTGAATCATCCTTACTTGCTGCTATTGCTTGGCTGTTAGTATTATCCACTAATATCATACAGTATAGGCCAAAGTTTCCTCTTCAAACTTGACATTCTGGGTTGTAACCTCCTCCATGTGCAGTTCTGGATTTACATAAGAGCATTTGGGGCCAGTGCCCCCACAAAACTGTTTAAACATAATTTTTTTTTTTAACTATATACTTAACTACTGCATATATAACTGACGTAAAGTTAACTTGCAGAAAAAAAAATTTTACATAGGTATTTTTCAATTAAATTAAAATAATTTTACACAATAAAATATATGTATGTTTACAATAAGCTTATTTTTAAATGAAATTTACAACTTCCTACATTTGAAATCTTTGAAATACTTGAAATATTGCGCAATTATTTATACACATTCATGCAAGTTTGATGCGGACAAGACCATTCTAGTGCCGCCTACTCTTAAAGGGGGGCCAACCTTATTTGTTCCCATGGGCCTCTGATTGTTAAATCTGGCACTGTCCATGTGCATGATATAGTATCTCTTTCTCTCTGGTAACAGTGACTGCAGTTAACATCTATCTTATAAAAATCTAGCACAGGGATGTCCAACCCACGGCCCGAATGCGGCCCAAGGCAAGTTCCAATGTGGCCCAATAAACGTATAAACAAAACCAAAAAATTTTTTTATTTTATTTATTTCAACAAAAGAAACTAAAAAATAGAAGTTTCACAAAGCCATAAACCTTCATATATTTTTTATTTTTGAGTGGAAAGGAAATGTTTTCAAATACTCAGAAATGTGTGAATGAGGAAGGAATACTATATAAAGCTAAAGTTGAGACTCAAAGAATTATAGACCCAAATTCGGGAAAAGGAGAGAAAGGCCAAAAGATAAAAAGTAGTGAGAAAGGTTAAATAGGCTTTCTGTTATGCAAATATGGACCCTTAATTTTCCAACCTTTATCTCACTCCTTTATCTTTTGTTTTTTCTCTCCTTTCCCTGAATTTGGGTCTATAATCCTTTGAGTCCCAACTCCAGTTTTATTTAGTACAGTGGAACCCCGGTTAACGAAAGTAATCCGTTCCACGAGTCCGTTCGTTAACCGAATTGTTCATAAACCGAAGCAATTTTTCCCATAGAAATTAATGCAAATACAATTAATCCGTTCTAGCCGTCAGTATTTTTGTAATTTTATTTGTAAAATGGGTTTTCTTTAATGAAAATATAGGAAAACGTGCTCATAAACAGTCAATCTAGGTTAAATTTTCGGAAAAGAGGAAAGATTTGACGGGTATAAAAATATCACATACGATCGTTAAAGTTCTAAAATGACAGATAGCGAAATAGATTATGAGCGAAAGGCTTATAGGCTTATTAACAATCTCTGATCAGAGTTGATGAACAGGTGTCAAATAAACGCCTCGGAACAAACCTTTCTCGTGACCTGATCTGGTTTCAGTTTTCTCCTGGAGACAAAGAAGAAAACAATCGGGAAGCGAGGAATGGGACGCAGGACAAATCGTAAGATGAAATTCAAGAAAGAAATACTATAAAAACCCGAATCTCAAGGTCAAAACGCAGTTTTCCTAAAAATTCTATGGCGATTAATCTGTGTCGTCTTCATCTGGATTAAGCCTGAAGTCGTGCCTGCTAAAATTTGTGTTGTGTCGCGCGGACCGCTCCAGTTGTTGCAGCTCTGTCACCTACCATCGCTTCTGTGACCAAGCGAATTCATCTCGTCCGCTCTGGGGCTACGACTGATCAGCTTGCACTATCGTAGGACCAGCGATACGCCACTCCTCAGTGCCGAGAGAAAATACTGTAGATAAGCCATTTCCAACTACCTCAAATATGTAAGCATCTTCCCGTTCTAATAAACGATTTTCACTGTAAAATACTTGTCATCTTTGTCTCCTCCGCCACCACCAACGTACGAATGGACCCTAGACCATCACCGACACACGATTAACTGATTTTCCCTAAAAGTCGGCAAGCTTACAAATTTGACACAAAAAGCCGTTAAGTTCGTTATCCGAATTTTGTTCGTTATCCGAGACAAAATTTTTGCAAAATAAAAGTTCGTTAACCGATTTGGTCGTTAACCAGGACGTTCGTTAACCGGGGTTCCACTGTATTCCTTCCAGCGTTGCATGATTTGGCTACTTTGCACCAAAGTTGGGTTCCCTTTTTTTAGTTTGGCGTAAAATATATCATTTGGCGCTTAGGCTAATTTTTTGGGCTACATATTATTTATAAATATATTAGTCAATTAAAAATGCACTTTAAAATGGTGTTTTGTCATTTTTTATTAATTAGAGACCCAAATAAAACAAAATATTTGTTATTTATAAATATATTAGTCAATTAAAAATGCACTTTAAAATGGTGTTTTGTCATTTTTTATTAATTAGAGACCCAAATAAAACAAAATATTTATGTTTTTCAAATAAATTTTTGTTTGTCTTCTTTATAATAAATGAATTTATCTATTTCAAAGTAAAAATTGAAAGTGTCTGTAAAAGTAATTTTTAAAAATATCCTTTTTCATGATAAANAAATATTTGTGTTTTTCAAATAAATTTTTGTTTGTCTTCTTTATAATAAATGAATTTATCTATTTCAAAGTAAAAATTGAAAGTGTCTGTAAAAGTAATTTTTAAAAATATCCTTTTTCATGATAAAGATTTAATACTTATTACTATAATCTAGACATAATCTGACAGGTTTCATCAAATTGGCAAGATTTGTTTATCTCACTCATTAATAAAGACTTCCAACACAATATAAACATTCTACCCCATATCTGCATACAGATTACCTATTTAGTGCTAATTGCACAGCATTATACAAAGTGTAGCACCATTATCATGAATTTCTCTATAAAACAGTTAAACCTTTAGATTCTTATAATTCATTTTTTATTTATAAGAAAATATTTTTACTTAAAGAGTAAAATGTTAATTTACTTGTAATTGTAAAACACTTTATAATAATATACAGGGTGTCCACCTTGAACCTGACACATTTGAAACTGTTGTAAAAAATCTACCACTCAGGAAGGATGTAAAGTAATGCACATTTTATGATGAAAAACTCAAAAAGTTTTATTAAAAAAATCAGTGAACCTCTACATGAGCTTCTTTTCTTGCATGTAGAACATCGAGTCTATACTCCATTTCCTGCCAGGTTCTTTCAAGCATTTCTGGTGTGACAGCAGCAACAGCATCGTAAATGCACAAACAAAAATGTTGAAGGTCACAAATTTTAACACCAGTGTAAACCTTGTCCTTGACAAATCCCCAAAAGAAAAATTCTAAGGGCATAATATCTGGCAATCAAGGAGGCCACGGTATCGGTCCTCCGCGCCCAATCCAACAATCAGAAAACTGTGTGTCAAGGAAATGTCAAACATGCAGACTCCAATGTGGAGGGGCATCGTCTTGCTGGAAAATTAAATCTGTTAAATAATGGAATTCGTTTCAGCTTACCACCATATAGCTTGTGCCCGTTCTTGTGGAGAAGCCATTTTGCATTTGACCACTGCCACGCCACCTAAAGTCACTTTGGCGGGTTTTCAAAATTACCTATATAACTTTCACAGTTTCTCCACCTAATGGAATGCATGACATCTGATTACTGCCTTGCACTTTGATATGACAGTCGAAACAAATGGGTCAGGTTCATGATGGACACCCTGTATATCTACAGATATAAAACTAACAAATCTGACAGAATGATTTAACATGAAAGTGTATAAAACTAGACACAATCATTAAGATAAACATACATTACATTTTTTGATTCTTATCAACATTTATTGAGGAGAACACACATTTTCAGTTCCACATTAAGTCATCTTCAATTTAAAATTTTAAAAAAATGTTAAAACAATTAAAAAACTTCTTATTAAATTTTTTTATTTTGGCATGTGCATCATGAATTTATCTTTTGTTTACTTTTTTGTCTGTTTTAGACCCTGTACACACTAGGCGTTTTTCAACGCGCGTTAAACGCGCGCTTGGCGTTTGAGTGTGTACGGCTACATAGAACTCTTGGTTCTTTAAAACGCGCGTTAAACGCGCGCTTGGCGTTTCAGTGTGTACGGCTACATAGAACTCTTGGTTCTTTAAAACGCGCGTTAAACGCGCGCTTGGCGTTTCAGTGTGTACGGCTACATAGAACTCTTGGTTCTTTAAAACGCGCGTTAAACGCGCGCTTGGCGTTTCAGTGTGTACGGCTACATAGAACTCTTGGTTCTTTAAAACGCGCGTTTAAAAGCGCGCGTTTAACGCGCGTTGAAAAACGCCTAGTGTGTACAGGGTCTTAAATTATTCATTTATTACAGTTCTTTGATTACTTTCAGAAATTATCAACATTCCCAAATTGATTTTAAATTGTTTTAAAACTTTTTCAGTCCAATTTTGTGTACAAACTGAATATAGCTCAGTACAAAGCTGAAAATCATTGGTTAGTGATAAAAACCTC